GCACAGGTGTGGTTCCAGCACAGGTGTGGTCCCCTGCACAGGTGTCATCCCCAGCACAGGTGTGGGTACTCTCCAATGTGGTCACTCAGAGTGGAGGCATCCTGTCCTGTGATGGGTCAGGAATGCTTGCTGAAGGCATGATGTGTGAGCCTCTCTGAAGGACAAGAATGAGGGGCACAGGAGGCGGGAGTAGTGTGCCCCCAGGCCCTGGGGTCAGTGGCATGAAGAATGACAGGGATGTGGCTGGGCAGGTCTTGTGGGTTACCCAGAGCAAATGAAGGCCAAGTTGGGCTGCAGGCCGTCCCCATCCCCCACCCCTGTGTGAGCCCTGCGGCCTGCCCACCCAGTCAGTGAACCCTCTGCACTGTGTGGGTCAGGTCCTGAGCGGAGAGCTGCCTCTGGGCTTGTGGCCTTCTGCTGGGCCCCGACCCATGCCGGATGACAGTCTTGGCTAGCCTCGTCCAGGACCATAGTGGATGCAGCGTGGGGATGACCCAGCGCCGTGCCGTCCAGGCGGCCTCAAGGCGCCAGCAGGGCAGTGTGTCTTACCAGCTCCCCAGCCTGCCCGGTGTTGTTGACGGGGTATCTGAGGCAGAGGGGCCGCAGAGGCATCAGGCTCGAGGGCACGGGTGGCTGCCCTGCAGTGTCCTCCGGGTCCGGTGCGGCCCACTCACCCTGGACGGTGTCCTCCTGCAGTGACGTCCACCCGGCTGCCCTCCCCTCAGAACACACGGTGGTCTTCCTCCTGCGCACACTCCCTGAGACACCCCGCGAGGCCTTCGCGCTGTGGCAGCTCATGACCGAGGACTTCCAGCCTGCCCTCGGAGTCCTGCTGGACGGTGAGCAGGCTCCCGGAGCCCCAGGACACCCGCACACCTCATCTGCACACGGGGTTCTGAGGGCACCTTCCACATCACGTGGGGGCTTTGAAGTTTGGGGGCCCTGGCTTATGTCTTTAGGGCTGCCTCCCGTGATGGGGCACCCACCCCTGCTTGCATCCTCGCTCCCCACGCACTTAGAGCCCTGCTCTTCCTTGCCTTCCAAGCAGGCTCCAGTGGTCCTCACATGACCCCTGCTCCCTGCTCCCCTACAGCTGGCCGGAAGTCACTGACCTACTTCAACCACGACCCCAAGGCTGCCCTGCAAGGGGTCACCTTTGACCTGCAGGATGTGAAGAAGATATTCTTTGGGAACTTCCACAAGGTCCTGGAGACTCGGAGCATGTGGCCCCTCCAGGCCGCCCCAGCCCAAGCTCTGGGTGGGACCCGTGGCCTTCCCGTGCCTGCCCTCAGCGACAGGCTGTGGCTCCTCTCGCTTCTGTGCAGAAGCAGCTGAGTTGTCCCCAGGCCATACCCTGCCCTGCCCTTTCCCAGCTCCTCCTCCCCCTGTCTTGGATCTCCTGTCTTAAGTGGGGTCCAGGAGTGTCCCCAGCCTTCTCTCTGGCACCATGACACCCCACATGGCACCTGGATGGTTTTGTTGGTCCATTTTATGGAAGGGAACATGGGCCAATGAGGTGGGACTTTCCCAGGACCCACAAGAGTCGGTGGCATCAGGACCCTGGTCCCTGGTGCCCTGGGGGTGGGTGTTGACTCCTGCCCTCCTTTCTGCTCTGGCCTTGTGGACATGGACAGGCGTTGCCCTCTGATCCAGGGGGCTCCCCAAGCCCCTGCCTTGATCTGAAGGGCACCTCGGGGATCCCTGCAGGTGCATGTGGCTGTGGGCCGCTCCAAGGTCCGGCTCTATGTGGACTGCCAGAAGGTTGCTGAGAAGCCCTTTGGGGGAGTGGGCAGCCTGCCCACCTCTGGCTTTGTCACGCTGGGGAGGCTGGCCAAGGCCAGGGGCCCCCGGAGCAGTTCTGCCTCGGTGAGCCTGGCTGGGGGCCGTGGGACAGAGGGCGCTGTCCGAGTCTGTACCTCACTGGCTCCCTTTGTAGTTCCAGCTGCAGACTCTCCAGATAGTCTGCAACGACTCCTGGGCGGAGGGGGATAGGTGCTGCGACCTGCCTGCTCTGGTGAGTGCCCACCGAGGGCTCCTGGGTCAGGGGCAGATCACCACGGTGCTTTGAAAGATCAGGGTGGGCTTCTTGGAGGATGCAGGTCCTGGGACAGCTGCAGGGGTGGCAGCTGTGTCCTCGGGCCACCCTCCCTCTCTGTGGGCCCAGTGGGGGGTGGTGACAGGCAGACCACGATGGACCCCCAGCCTCACCAGGGACACAGGCATTGCTGGAGTCTCACTTCCCCCTGACCCCAGGCCAGGGGTGAGAACTGAGAAGGTGCCACCTGGGCCCCTGCGGGCAGCCAGGGGCAGAGGCCTGAGCTGGGACCTGCCTCCCTGCGTGGCCTCTGCTCCTCCTGGGGCTGCCAGGAGTGGGCTTGAGGTTTTCCTGGAATCTCAGGGTGGAGGAGAGCTGGGGGAGGCTCCATTTCTCGAGTGAGCCTCCTTCTTTTCAGAGGGATGCTGAGACCTGCCCGGCCTCCCCTTCCTCCTGCACCTGCTCCTCAGAGACCCCCGGGCCCCCTGGCCCCCAAGGACCTCCAGTGAGTCCACAGCCCCTTCCCTGGAGGGCCAGGGGCTCCTAGCCGATATGTCAGTGCCATTAGCAGACAGGGCTGGGCCCCTCCTGCCCCCTTTAGCTGGCCACCAACCCTGGCCCACCTGCAGTCCCAGGCTGGCCTGGAGGGTGGAGCATCTCTTGAGCGCACCCTGACCCATCCACCCACACTGCCCCCCAGCCCTGTGAGGCTGGAGCCTGGACTAGGCTCCGCCCTTCCCACTAGGCTGGACCAGCCTCCATGGGGACGGGGACGCTGGCCTCCCCTCTCAGCCCTGGCCCCTCCCTTCGTGGATGCAATGCAGACCTGTTCTGGGAATCCAGCATGTTCCAATGTCACCATCTGAATGATGGTCAGGGGCCCAGTGTTGGAGCTCTCTGGGCCCGCTGGGCTATGCCCTGTTCACCTGGGCAGGCGCTGCAGGGCCAGGAGCAGCCTCCAGGGGAGTTCTCCAAGGTCCTGAAGCCCCAAGGGTGAGCCCCGAGAGAGTTCCTGCTCTAGCCGAGCGGGTCTACAAGCCCCAGGCCCAGGGCCCCACTCTGCAGGGCCATCTGTGACTGATGGGCTGGGTGGGATTTGAACCCAGACCTGCCCCAACCCAAAGCCTGAGCTCTTAGCTGCCTGCGGAGAGAGGAAGGGACGTCCCTGCCCTGGGAGCCCCTTCCCACCATGCACAGGGGCCCAGGGGCAGGCGGGCTGCGAGGGGTGGGGGCAGCTCAGCTTGGGGTGGCGGCAGGCAGCTGGAAGCTCTCGGGGTGAACTTGCTTTGCTTCCCCAGGGACTCCCCGGGAAGAGTGGTGCCCCTGGGGAGCAGGGCTTCCCAGGGCCCAGGGTAAGTGCTGTGGTCTTGGGGAGCCCTGGGTGGGGGGCCTGGTGCTTCCTTCCGGGGAGACTCCCCCCCAGCACACTCAGAGAACAGAGTGCATGTCACCCTCCCAGGTCAGGGGAGTGATCTTGTGGTCAGCTCTTGTGGTCAGCGGCTGCCCCTCCAGCCTCTGGGCAGCAGCAGCGGCCCCAGACACAGGCAGGAAGCTGAGGCTGGGAGAGGCAGGACCACCATGCAGTTGGTGGCCCAGGCCCCTTGGCAGGTCTGTGCATGGGGTGGTACTTGGAGATAGCACACTAGTGAGGACAGCGGGCGCCCACACTGGCCACAGGGCTGCTCTCTCCCTCCTGGCCCTGTGGGTCTCTGGCCAGCCATATCATAAGGCTTCCTTTATTGGGGGGAAAAAAATCCAACCACAAAGAGACACTGGGTGTATGTGACACAGTGCAAAGACAGCAGGGCACGGTGACACCCCCAATCCCCGACACCCCTTCCTGGCTTGGAAGCTGTGCCTTTCTGTGCTCCCTTCCAGAGAATTCCACGTCCCTCCACAGGGGTTCACTCTATTCACACTCATTCCACACAAAGGTGGCTCCTGCAGCACCCCTTGCACCTCCCTCTGATGCCCCCTATGGAGGCAGCCATGTGGCATGGAGGAGGAGGACCTGGGGTCCCCCTGTGAGGGTGCAGAGACGTGGGACAGTCTCTATGAGAGAGGCTGCCTCTCTCTGTACCCCACCTGTGTCTCCAGGGAGAGCCTGGGCCACCCGGACAGATGGGCCCCGAGGGTCCTGGAGGCCAGCAGGGGTCCCCGGGGACCCAGGGTCGCACGATCCAGGGACCTGTGGTAGGTGTTACGGCCTGTCCCCTGCCCCTCCAACCCCCTCTTCCCTCCTTCTGTGGCTGAGCTCACTTTTCCCCTCCCCTGAAGGGCCCACCAGGGATCAAAGGAGAGAAGGGGGACCACGGACCCCCCGGCACACAGGTAGGTGGTCTGAACTGGCCACGGGGGTGGGAGGAGGCACCCTGCTTGGGACACATGCTTGTGGGGACCAGCCTTCTCCTTGGGCAACCCCGGCCTGGCTGGCCACCTTTTCTGTTCAGGGTCTCCCCGGCCACCAGGGTATCCCCGGGAGTGTCGGCCTCCAGGGACCAAAGGTACCTACCAGCTCTGGGCCTTGAGGGTTCCGTGGGTGGCAGGTGTGCTGCTGGCTGAGCCTCTTGGACACCCAGGTGTGTCGAGGGGTGGGGGAGGGAGGGGGCTGCCCATGTGGGTGGTCACTGCCCCAGGGCCGGCCCAGCCTGGGACCTATGCTGTGCTCAGGGAGGGGCACAGGCCGGGGTCGCCCACCTCGCTGGTCAGGGCATGCATGGTTTGAGCCTTCCTTTGCCCTCAGGGAATGAGAGGACTGGAGGGCACTGCTGGCCTGCCCGGACCCCCCGGACCCAGGGTACGACGGCCCCACCTTCCACTCCACCCACCGCTGAGGGCCACTGGAGCCACCTCAGGAAAGAATCTGAATTCAGTCTCCTGCGTCCAGGCCTGGGTGCATCCCGGGCACCCTGGCTGGCTGCTGGCCATTCACGGCCGCATATCCCGGGCTCCTGGGTACTGCACCCGGAGCAGCGTGCTGTGTGGCCCACGAGGGGTGCAGCGCAAGGAATGCAGCATCTGTGCTCCCCAGCCACAAACACGCCCTGATTCCAGATGGCAGGAGGGCATCTGAGGCCCTGCAGGCCTGCGGACGGCTGGCAGCAGGCTGCTTCTTGCTTTTGCCTGTGGAGGACCTGGGGATGGCTGAGCGTAGGAAGGGACATCACTTGGCAGAACTGAGCTGTCCCTGCCACAGGCGGGCTGGGGCATCACCTTCACTCCCAAGGCCGGGGTCTGGGGGTCTGTGTTTGTGAGCAGAAAGCTGGGAGCTGTTAGGGGGCAGGCAACTGAGTCCAGCGGGAGGTGGGGGGCAGGCAGGGGGCAGAGCCCCAGGCTGGGAAGGGGGCCTGAGCTGAGCCAGGGGTGGGCTCTTGGGGGTAGGAACCCACATATCCTGGGCCGGGCTTGGAGGTGACTCGACAGGGCTGAAGGCCCAGCTGTGCTGCTTTCCAGGGGTTCCAGGGCCTGGCAGGTGCACGGGGGGCCGGCGGGGAGCAAGGACCCCCTGGGGCCGTGGGACCCACGGTGAGCCCTCAACCCACCACACAGACACACTCCTTCCTGTGGGATTCAGGCCCAGAGCGAGCCCCCGGGCGCCCTCAGATCAGAACCCAGCCACTTACCCAAAGCTGGGGTGCGGGTGGGGCTGTCCTCCTGCAAAAAGGCCATGGGCCATGGCCCAGGGTCTCGGGTGTCCCCTGCCTGGAGTGGGGACCAGCTGAGCAGGACCAGGCCTCTCACCGCCTGCCCTGCCCTCGCTCACTTGCCCCTCCCCTGACTTTTCTCCTCCCTCCCCCACCAGGGGCTGCCTGGGCCTAAGGGCGAGCGTGGGGAGAAGGTAAGTGGAATGCCTGGGCCTCCTGGTTGGGGACAGTGTGGTCCCCTACCACCAAGCTGGGGCCCTGCACACGCACCACTCTCACACGTGTTTCCTCACATGCACACGCTGTCACACATCTCCTCCCACGCAGGTCCCCTCACACATCCCCCCTACAGGTCCCCCACTTGTCCCCCCACACTCATGACCCCTCACATACATGTTCCCTCACACACAGGTCCCCCCATGACTCCTCACACACATGACCCCCACACACATGACCCCTCACACACATGTCCTCTCACATGGGTACCCCCACATGCATGACCCCTCACACACGGGTCCCCTCCCATGCAGGTCCCCTCACATGCACATCCCCTCATTTGGTGTCTCCTCACACTTGTGTCCCCCACAGGGTGAGCCGCCGTCCCTCTCTGCCATCTATCAGCTTGTGAGCCAGGCCTGTGAGTCAGCCATTCAGAGTGAGTGCTGGGTCTATGTCCTGCCTGGCCCCTCACCCAGCCTCGCTATGAGGGGCCCCACTCACTGCTTCCTCCTTCAGCCCACGTGCTCAAGTTCGACTCCTTCCTGCACGAGAGCGCCCGGCCCCCAATGCCCATCTTGGACAGGGAAGTGAGGCCAGGTGGACCTGGGCCCCCTGGAGCACACAGCCAGGCCCAGCTTCCTGGAGGACAGGACACAGGTACGGCCTTCCAGGAGACCCTGCAGACTTGCAGGGCTGTGGGCCCTCCACAGGGTGGGGGAGATGGCCATGCCAAGGGGGTGCCCCGCAAGGGAGTGGGTACCCTGCAAGGGAGTGGGTGCCCCACAAGGGAGTGGGTGCCTCGCAGGGGAGTGGGTGCTGTCGGGCACCTCGGGCCTCCACGCCCTTCCCCAGCCTCCCAGCAGTGCTGAGCAGCCCCCAAGACCCCTACAGCCACAGCCTCCCAGGTCAGGGCCACCAGCACCCTCTCCACCACCCACCCTCCTCTTTCCTTGGCTGTCGATGTGACAGGGTGGTGATGGCTCAGTGGCAGTCACAGGTCAGGGCTGAGACAGATAGAGAGGCTGATGAGGGGTGACAGAGCTGGAGATGGCTATGGGCTGCGGGCCGGGTGGGGGTGGGCGGGCACCTCTCCTTTAGGTCAGACACCCGGATCCCGCCATCTGCCCCACAGACATCTCAGGAACTGAGGCCCCCCTACCCCATGGGGTGACATGCTTCC